GAAAATGTGGACAACTATTTCTACCATGTCAGGAGTAGAGATCCTGGTTTTTATATATAACTGATCTATCAAACACTATGCTTTATTGATATATTTACATTTTTAAAGCAATTTGGAAGCCTACCAGTGCCTCAATCATCATAATAAAAAAAAACTCTAAATACTTATAAATGTTAGTGCTTGACTTTGGAAAAAAAGAGCTCCCCTGGCCCTCTTCATTCACCACTCAACCACCCACTTGGGTCCAGCTGTGGCTGTCCCCCCACTGCTTTGTGGTGCTGAGCAGCCCTGATAAGCTAGTGCCTTGCCCTTGCTCATGCCAGTCCAAGCCACAATCCCCGCAAGCCCTGCTGGTGCTCCTCACTCCCAACCCACAGTCTCCTGCACTCAGGCCCCAGCCCCCAAGTAGGTGAATTAGATGGTGGGTATGTGGAGAATGGGGGGGGGGAGGGAAGGAGGGTGTTGGGAAGTGGCGGGGTGTTGGCACAGGGCTGCAGCCTGGCTGGATCAGCTCCACGCTGAAGCTGTGTCTTTGGCCCAGCGGATGGGACCCAACACAGGAGGGGTGCTGCATCATCGCCATGGCTGCCAAGGTGAGGCATGGCAGCACAGAGTTTTGCCCCTGCTGTTGCTGGGCTGGCAGAGGGTGCCTCACCTTGGTGGCAATGGCATGGTGGTCCCTCACCCCTGTGTCCTGCCCCTCCTTCCCTCCCGCTGCCACACGCATGCACCTGGTACTCTCTGCCCCATGTCCCGCTCCCCCCAGCCCCAAGCAGCCCCTTGCAGGTTGGAGCTCTGCCAGCCTGCAAGGCAATAACTGTTGCAGGGGTGCAGAGCAGGGCAGGAGTATCCCTGGCCTAAACTGCTCCATGATTTTGTCTTTTAAAAGGGGAAAATCCACATTTTTCCATGGCATATGGAAAACCTGGATCCCTGGTCATGAAGTGCACTGAATTTCAGGCTCACACAAATAAAAATGTTGATTTCAGAGCACTTATAAAAGATGACCTTTAACTGCAAGGGTATCTCAATCTTAACTTTAAGCTGAGCTGCTGCTCTGTCATAATGTCTAGTTTCTGGTGTTAATATGAGCAGCACTGATGCAAGCACACTAACATGAATGCTAGCAATCACTTAAAATAACAAATATCAATCTGTAAGCCATATTGATGTAGCTTTGAAACACAGATTGAATGTACCCCCTTCTAATATAAAGTAGAATACGTACACTTATGTACCTCTAAAGAAAAATATCTAATAATTTAGCTAATCATCTTGTAGGTTACAATGAAATATGATTTAAAATCCCTTTAGAAGTGATATTGATTATGGAGCTGTTAATTTGCTGTCTTCAACTGTGCAACTTTGATTCATGAAAGATTTTATTACAATCATTTTCTTGCCCCCCCACCAAACCGTTGTCTTTAAAGAAAGAAAAATAACTAACTCTGAAGGATCTCTGACATGAATGCTGGACGGTTAAAATGAATATTAATAAATGAATAAAAAATAATATTTTTCAAAGTGCAGTTGAACCAAAGACCATCAAAATGCAGGGAAAGGGTTAAAATGTTATTTGACTTCAGTTAAGCATTCCTTTCCTGATGGTTTGCTTAAAATTGTTAGCATTTAAATAGTCCTGACTAGGCTTTGAAGTTAACACCTCCTCATGTTGTAAGGTGACGGGAGAGGGGGAGGAGTAGGAGTTCACACCTTTGCTGCTGCTATTGTTAGGCAGAACTGAGACAGTTTGTTTGCAAGCCTATAAAGGTTACACATTACAAGCTACTTTACATCAGTTTGCACAGCAAATACTGTATTGAGTATCCAGCCCCCTTCCCCCAGAAGTCCATGGAAGATGTTCTTTGGGCAAAAATATGAAACTTCTGATTTAAGCAAAAATAATGACACAATAGAAAATGGCAACAAAAAACACAAGGCTCAGCAGATATGAAATCTGTTCAATTTCAGCCTTGATGCTCCCATCAATACATAATGGTTTAAAAAACCAACAGAAATATTTGTGTTCTTGTTTTTTTCCTAAGGAGATGACACCCATCCTTTCCATATACTGTATTTCTCTGAAAAGTCATATACCTAACTCTAAAAGGACTCCACTAGTACATGCCTTTATCTCACCAGGAGCTAAGAAAGAACATTTAGCCACCTGGGATAATATATGTAAAATATGCTTTGAACAGGGGTTTAACCTGCAGAAAGAAATTACCAAGCAGGCATATGAAATTTTCTCTCTCATTTACATGGGCAACTACAACACTGATTATTATTTTTAATGTATATTGCCATTGTTCCGAGGAAATTTAATAAGAATTATTATTTAGGGCTGCAATCTGGACTACAGTCCATCAAAAAACACCTGAAACTCACTACCTCACTAAACTCTGAAGTTATTTGTGATTAATTAAGATGACCAGCTGATTCCTAAGTTTTACAAATTAAAACAGTATTAAGAAAAGGGTCTATGCCAAACCAACTAGAGTTGGAGGAAGGGTCCCTTTTTATCAACAAGCTTATATAACATTGTTCTCAACTATACAGTAGGTCCAATAAAAGATATCACCAAGAACCACCAAAAACTCCAAACCAACTGTAAAGGTTTAATTTGCCATGCCTGGTCATCATAGTCATAAGATGTGACGCGAGACTGGAGCCAAGCGCTTGAAAGCAGAGGTAATCAGCCATTGACCCATAGCCAGATCTGACCTGGAGCTGCAGCATCTAGCCTATGAGGTTCCCCAAGGGTCTGAAAATTTGGCAGTGGGGGAGTGGTGACAGCATTAACTGCTGATTCTCTGCTGCCAAATTTCCACACCCAAAGGGATCCCTGTGGGTTGGATGACATGGCTTTGTGAGCTGGATCTGGATGGGCCAGTGTGCTGGGTCTGTGTGCCTAGACTAACCTACATTCAGACCAACATTCAGATCCATGTACAATATCCAGCCCACAAAACTGGCCCAGCACCACTGATCTGGACCACAAAGCCAGGTAGGCTGAGCACCACTGGTCCAAAAAGATTCTACATGCATAAGGGAAACTTTTCTTGGGACACAAACTGAGGGAAACAGCCAGCAGGTGCCTTCTAAGGACTTCTGTACAAACTCTGACTGGGGGCCCTGAATGTTTCAGAGGTGTTTAGGGTGTCACAGTGCTCATAGACCAAATAACCTCAAACAGCCTTTGAGATTTGCCTAATTACATTAGGCCACTCTGACATTCAGAGATGTACAGAACTGAAAGGGTTCAAGAGGCAACTTAAAGCCACTTTTGCCTTTTAACAACTAGACCAGGGAACATTTTTCATTAGTATTCATCACAAGATTTAAAAAATAAAGACTTTTTTTTTTAATCTTTCCATTTTTTTTCAATCTTTCTATCCATCACCATAAGGGCTTTGAGTTTAGATTCTTATACAATTACATGACTCCATGAATGGAGGCTTTAAGAAAAGCTGGATATTGAAAGACTTGTTAAAATCCTCCCTAGCTTGCTCCTCCGAGCATGTGGCCAAGGGCAAGTGAAATTCAGAGGTATCTGAAACACAAGCGTCTGGGCTTGGCCCTGCATGTAGGATGCCTGCCAAATAATTTGGAAGTATCTGAACCCTACTACTTGTTTGTAGTAGGGCTACATATGGTTTTTGAACGATTCAACCGATTTGGCTAATTTGACCTGGAACATGAAAAAATTTACAAAATGTATAAACAAACAAACAAACAAAATTAACTAAAATCCTGGGAGTTGGTAGCTATTGTGCTCTTGTTTAGCAAACTCCTTAACTTTATCTATGTTTAAACTCATTTGAAGCACATTTTAAAACACTTGAAATGCTATTCAGACATCACATTATGGCATTAAATGGAAATCTGCCTTACATTTTGGAACCAGAGATCAGAATTCCCCAGCTACATCCAAAGGCAGCTGACAATAGAAGGATTGCTTCAGATCCTTGGTATCTAGGTGGGTAAGTAATTCATTTTTTATGGGTTGGTCAATATAAGGAGGGTCAGGAAAGTAAAGAGGAACTAAATTTAAGGCATTAAGTTAAGGCACGTAAATTAAAGCAAGTTAAACTTAAATGCCTTTATTCAAAAGAAGTTTTTTTGGTTGTTTGCTGGTAATTTAATCAAAGTGAACTATTTTGGTTCTGAATGAGTTCCTCCATACAGGGTTTTAAAGCACTTGAATACATAGGTAACTCCATTCCCTTACATGGTTTGTCCTATCTTTTCTGAATGTTCCTGTTTAGGCAAGCCCTATATTTCACAACAGCAACCAAGAGCAACCAAGCATACTTGCTGCTATCATGCAACTGTAAAAAAACTACCAAGACAAAGTTTGGAAAAATCTTCCCTTCTGTCCGTGTTCGTGAACAGAATTACATTCTAACCTTTGCTATTCAGAAATAAACACATCCAGACACTATACGATAAGCAAAAAAAAAATTTTACCTTCTCAGTGCCCCGTTTCTTTTCTCGAGGTTGGTTAAGTTTAGCCTGTCTGTCCACTAAGATCTTCTGCCAGTACCTCTGTTCGTGATCACCTTGATGCACAAATTCATGATAATACATTAATATAATCACACTATATAAAAGATTCAACTTATTACTGATGATGGCCATATATATCTGTTTAAACACACGTGAACAGTGTGCAAAATTTCTGTGGCTGAAACTGGACTCCTCAGTTCTTAACAAAGATAAAACTTATTATTATTATGACAATAATAATGCCCAGTCCTTACAAGTTGGATAAGGCCAGAATCAAGCTTCCTATATATCTTCAGTGAGTTGTGTGGCCAAGTTAGCTAGACACCCCAGCTATGATATTCTTTAGTTGAAAATTTTATAAGCTTCCCAAACAAATGAGTGTATGTGCTGCTTATGTCCAAAATGCAATTTGGAAAATAGTCAAATTAAGACAATTTTTTCACAAAAAACAATCGCAGGCATTTCTCTTCATTCTTGGTTATTAGCCTGGCAAATTGTTTTCTACTACAAACTGAATTTGTTGGAGAACTTTTTAAAAAGAACCATCCTAAAAATTTCTGAGCCAGTCTTTTGTAAATATTTTTTGCAAATATTGTAAGTGTGTATGTGCATATATAAAAAAACCTCTTACCAGTAAGGACTTCAAGTTTCCAACTGTTTTTAATCTGAACTTCTTTATATGCTTTCATCACAACCTGTGCATCTTCAGGTGTTTTAAAACGAACATGGCATTCTGTGTCTCCTTCCAGCATGTCCACATAAGCAACATTAGCTATCATTGCCAGAACATCCTGGGGTGCAAAAGTGAAGGTAGAAAAATAAGACAGATCAAAAATAAAAAGGATTTATTTTTTGAGAAATCAAGCTGCAAACGGCTGTAGTATGGGAAACATTATCAAAGCTCAGCTTGCAAGTAGTAAAAACACAAATTATATCTAAAAACTGTATCTGATACACTCAGTTTATGACTAATATGTAATGATTTTTACAAGAAAATACATTCTATTTACAGAGTTGTGCCCCTCAAGAACAACCTAGATTAACTCTATTAATCTCCCAATCCTTCCAGCCTCACAGCTGCTAGCCCTTGTTGACTACGTTTGTTGCAGAAGAGTAAGTCCACAATGGACCACTAGTGATTCACTGTGCAAGGAGCTATTTTAACCCTAAAAACTTAATGTACTAACACATGCTGCATATACCAGTTTGAGTAAAAAGGCAAGGTTCTTTGAGTAGATATGATATCTTTCATTAGACCAACTGAGTAGTTGGAAAAACTCAAAGAAGCTTACTTGCCTATGTCCTTAGACCAACACGGCTACAACCAAAAGGCCAGTTTGAGTAAAATATACTCACTTCCATTCTTAAAATTCTCTGTAAGTTTAGGACTGTAGATGATATGTAAAAACTGAACAATGGGTAATAGAATGTGCGGTGCACTACTAGAGATACTGGGGATCACTCCCTTTTGTATGAACTGATTTGGCCTGAAAACTGAGAGCAGCAGCTCAAGAAGAAAGTCACACACACCCTTTTAATAAAAATTCTACCTGCTACACCTGCTGTGAGGGAAATTAACCAAAAGCATGCATTCCCAGTCGATTTCATTCACAGCAGGTACCACAAGCAAGATGTTTTTACGCAGCAATTACACACTACTTTTAACCCCCCAGGATACCAGGGAGAATCTTAAAACGCCACAACACTCCGTTTGGCAAAATCATGTGTGGTCCAAACAAAACTATTTCCTTACTAACTGTTGAATCCGACATAATATTTCCATAGAAAATTATGCAGGTTACCAAAATTTACCTTTAGTAATCAACTACAGTATTATTTGATCTCTGAAAAGTGCCTGTTCTCAGGAATAGGACAAGAGAAAGTTTCAGTATGAAAAACTGAAATGTGAAAGTAAAGATATTACATTTAGCTTATATTGTAGTGCCAGAGTGGTGTTGTAGCCATGATGGTCCAGAAAATATATGTGAGGCAAGGTTTTTTGTGGGTGCTAGCTTTTATTGTACCAACTGCATGGTTGGGATAGATTTACAAGCTTCCAAATGCAAACAAGAATTGCACTGCAATCGAAAGCTTGTTTAAGTCATCCCAACCATGCAGTTGGATCACTAAGCAATAATACCCTCCCCCCCAAATTCTTTACTTCTCATTTAATACAGGTGCACAAAGCCACCAAAGGATATTCTGCACAGATCTGCCCAGTATCTACCGTGCATACAAGACTACAAAGATAGAAAGCTGACCAGCAATACCAAGCTTTTCTATAAATCCCTAAAATACACAAGATCTTACAGCATTCTGCTTGAACACTTTATGAAGTATCAGGCCAGCTTTGCTTATTCTGGAGTCAGAAACAAACTCTACAGTTAAAATTGGAAGTGACTTGCTAATTTTAGTCTCCATTCTAATTTTCACAAGTACTTCTTTTTCCCTGAAATTCTTCACACTTGGTCCCAGACCAGAGATTTTTTTTTTTTTTTTTACACTTGATGCAAATCAGACAGATAATTAGATTTACATACCTGAAAATACCAGTTCAGCCTAAGACAGTTTGATTTTGTCTATGCAAGCAAGGCTAAACTTTGTTAGTCCTTTGACTGTGTTACTTGTAACACAAACTCATGGCACAATAAATGTGCAGTGCAGACAAACTCTGAATAGCCCCTCAGATATTACAGTGATGAGTAGGTGGGGGAGGATGTCAGACATTCTCTCATTAATGTCTCCACTGCCCAGATACTGCTTATAAATACCTAACTAGAGAAGGCTGATTTGGTTGAAACTATATCACTGCTTTGTTTTCAGCAAGAGATAGGGGCTCTGATCTTGCAAAGATTTATGCACATGCCTGATTTTACACACTTGCGAGTAGCCACAGTGACTTCAGTTGCACTGCTCACTGTGTTGTAAAACTTTAGTTACATTAATCTTTGGAAAAGCAGACTTTTTTTCCTGGAATAATCAGTAGTGTTTTTTTTCTCCAGAACACTCTAGAACTGGATAAATTACTTTCATGTTAATTTGTCAGAAAAGCAGTTTCAGAAGGAATTAAACTATTTAATTATTCATTTAATCCAAAGCATAAAAGGACAATTTTGGAAAGTCCATACAAATTGTGACATTTTTCAAACTGAAGTGTTACTAATTTTAATTTCTAAATAATACTCCTTTAAAAAAATTCCATCCCAATTTAAAAAAAAAAGTAAAAAACCCAGAAAACAAACTGTGATTGCACGTCCTACAAAGCAAATTTTTTTCAGTTGTTTGGTTACTAAACCCATAAATAAATTATTTAAATGGCTCTAATAATTAAATAGTAAAATAACATTTTCCAGTAAAAGAACATTCAGCAATTAAACCTTTCAATATGATGAAAAAGTACAGAGCAAGGCCATATAAATATATAAAACCCATGTACATTATAAGAATCACTTTGCACTAAAACAATATATTTATCAGGGCCAGGGTTTCTGAACCATTTCTGAAAAGGATGTTGCTTCAGAGATAAACTATGGTCATCTGCAGCATATGACTATCAAGACACTGCATTTCCACAGTCTCAGAAATATGTATTATTTTCTTATCTCAACCAAAAATGTAAAAAATGTTTCAGGCTATATATGATAAAAAGAAGGTTGACATCTAGCACCTCATAACACAGCAAAATTATATTGAGTTTTAAGAACCAGGACCAAATATCCAAAGCTGATAAGTAAAAGTTGAAACAAGCTTAGTTTATTAAAATGAACATAACCTTTTGGAACAAAAATGGTATGTTTATCATTGCAACTGAGATATGCATTTTGTGATATTTTATGATTTTCTCATACTGAGAATGTTTTCTGGCTCCAAATTCCTTTTTAGGGAATAAACTCAATTAAATCAAACTCCATCACAGTAATGAATTATTTGGGCAACAGATTAGCTAAATAAAGATTATAAAGAATCTAATCATAAAATAACAAGAACAGGCCAGTGCCGTAAATAGTGCTTTTAACAGGTTTTTATTCATACCTACATTGCAAGGATGGTAGACAAGATTTTGGAGATAGAGGAGAGAATTACCTCCCACCCTGTCCCTCCCCAGTACATTCCTTTACATTATTGTCATGGTAAACTTGACTTCTCTGGAAGTCTTCTTTCCTATACCAAAAGACTTAATGACTTTTTGTTGTCAAATAGTTTCCCTCTACCTGGTTCTGCTTTCATGAAAGCTGCCATTAATGGTTACTATTCAGAAATTTGTATACAGCTAGCTGACAAACAAAAAAAAATTCAGTTTGACTTGTTTAAATGGGATTCCTGTATTCAAACATTTTCAGGGCAGGAAAGGATAAGAGCTCCCCTGAGGTCACAAAGGCATTACCTTGATGTGTTTCCTGCCTGGCAGGGGCTCAGTGCTAATGATCTTCACAATTACTCCACTCACAAACTGTGGTCCCATTGTACTAGCCTTTGCAGGGGGGCCAGACCCTTCATTGGTGGCTGTTAATTTGAAGAGGAAAAAAGCATAATGAAATCTCACATTTATCAATTTGACAAATATGAGAAAAAAACACAAAATTATACAAGCAATATAATAAATCTCATGATAATACTAGCAGTGGATGAAGCAAGAGATACCAAATGTTGCTGGTATGGATACAGGGGTATAGATTGTAGCTGTGTTGGTCTAAGAACATAGGTAGACAAGGTTCTTTGGGTAAGTCTGATATCTTTTATTAGACCAACTCAAATAGTTGGAAAAATTCTTCTTTGCTTGTATGGATATACACTTTTTTAAAACAATGGACTTTATTTATTGGTGGGATGATGAAAAACCTTGAGAAAGGGTACTTCATACCTTATACTTTGTCTATGTCCCTTCCAATTATGCAGCTGGTCCACTAAAAGATATTACCAACAAAAATCCTTGCCTCAGAAAGAAAACCCATTTCACCAAGTAATGGCACAATGAATTAACTAATAAACCCTACAAAATAAAGGGTTTTACATAAGTCCTTTACAATCTCAAACACAAGTGTGGGTAGAACTTTTAAATCCTTACCCCATCAGCTGCACCAAAACCTCTAGAATGAGCCCAAGAGCCATGAAACAGATTTCATGTTTCCAGAACAGTTATTCTGAATTATTACCAGAAAAAATGTTTCAACGGATATTACTGTTAGGGTGAAGCATATCCTAATTTATTTTATTAAATTCTTGACATACAACAATGAAGAAAAGCAAGTTAACATTATATTGTCAAGATATATGTTCTTGCTAGCGTGCATATACAAGCAGAGCCTACATGAAGATTACTGCAATGCATTTGTTGGTTTACTTATTGACTTACCATGATATAGTTAGAACTAAACTACAGAAAATGAATTTGAGGATTCAGGAAGTGATCTTGGCTAATTCTTAATCTCAGTTGTTTATTCATTAGGCAAAAATTAAAAACCTATAAATTAGTTAAATTTCACTTCAGTTCAGTTTCTTTTTATAAAACACAGCATCTAGAATAGCAAGGTGTTAGCACTCCTTTTTTAACCTGCCTTTTGTGGTTAGACAAGTTACCAAGATTACAGATCTATTAAATATATAATTATTTCACAATTCTATTAAAAGTGTCAGACTCTAAGAACGTAGTTTAAAATTCCACAACATGACACGTAAACAGCTGCCTTATAACCAAATGCATTCACCATTTTTTGTGTGAAGCTGTTTTTGGGCACAGCTTTCTGTCTCCATCTCTTCAGCAGTCTCAGGTTTGATTTGGGACATTGTTTTCTTTAAAGAGGCCATACTGGCTTTTTGAAGGGCCAAATATTCTTGCTTCAGTTCCAGCCATTCACTCCTATGTAAGAGAATAAAGGAATTAAAATATACCAATATATAACTTTATGTATAAAACAATCTAGAAACAATATAAGACAGGATGGTATCTAAACAGACATAAACCAAAGTTTATAGGAGGAATATGAAGCAGTGAGAATTTAATTCAGCTAGTGATCTTCCTTCCTTGTTCTTGAAAGGGCTCTCTACTTGGCTGCCTGAGGTTTTATGGGTATTTGTCTAAACTTATTTTTGTTCTATGCATTCTTTCTACCTAAATGTTTCAAATAAGCTCTACTAGAACACCTTGTGAATAATTAAGAATGACTGTTGAACTAAATATTCTTATTTCAGAAAGTATTTGGAATGCTTTTGTAAATAAGCAATATTCACAATTTGAACTAGAGTTACAGACCATACACACTAAATCAGAGTTGATTAGTTTACTGAATTAGTTCACTGAACCCTGTCTAGTGTTACTTTATTAAGAATTAGTCATTTCTTCTCCAGGAGAATCACTGATTGAAAACCAACAATTGTTTAACTCACCAAAAACCTACCGAGATAAGAACATTCCTTGCTATTCAAATGCATTAAAGTTAAAAAATAACACCACATGGAAGCAATTTATATATTTACATACATTTAACATGGAGATGTTTCTGCAAACAGCTAGAGCTTTGCTCTACAGAAACACAATGCCTATAGTGCCACTGTGAGAACGACTCATTGTTACCCTAATCTGTGCTATCAAACAAGCTGATAGGGGATTTTTTTACAGAGGAGGATATCTTGTGGTAATGGTTTTAGCTGTTAACATTGACAACTATATACTTCAAAAAAGCATCCAGACTCAGCCAGGATCATACTCTCTCAGAGAGCAAAGACATTAAAATAACAAAGGAGCCATGTAATGATTCTTTTAAGATAAAAAGGCAACACCACACCATAGTAAGGTATGGTATAAATAGAAGCCTGAGAAGCCACTAGAGGAAGAGAAGCAAAGGAAGAGAAGCCCATGGGAAAGAGCCAGGCAAGTGATCAGGTCTGTGGGTGTGATCATTTAATGGGTTAAGGTTTGGGAAGAATGGTATGCTAGACAGTGTGTGTGTGTCTGTGTGTATATAATAACCAACTATTTATAAAGAAATGTATTTAAAAAAAAGATACTTACTGTTCTGAAAAATGCCTTTCCATGCAATAATGAAAGGAACTATATTTTTTTTCCCTTCTCTTGATACAGGAGGACATGGTGTGCTAACAAAATGGACAACTGACAGTGCGATTTAAATGAAGTATGGTTTCCCTTCTACTTTAACATGGAGGTGCTTTCTGTGACTTAAAAGAAGTAAGTGCTTCCATGTTTTAGTAGAGGTGAATCCTGTTCTCAGTCCTAGAATATCCATATGGAAAAACATGACATGAACATTGCCTCCATCTTTTTGTCACAGGATTTAAACAAATAGTATGAGAGGAAAAAGAAGCCTTAGCCTATAAAATGTTCATCATGTAACAAAGCTCTAACTATTAGCTAAATTCCTTATTTTTACAGGGTGATTTCCTCTTCTGTTTATTGAAAAATTATTGTCAATATGGTACTGGTATTTTAAACGGCCTCCTTTGCTTTAACATGGAGGTACCTGCTGCCTAAAAAAAGTAAGTGCTTCCATGTTTCAGTGGTGGTGGTAGTTCCTAATATCCAAGACCTCCAGCGCTCAGACCAAGGAAAATGTGAAAAAATGTAAGAAAATGGTCCAAATTCCAGAAAACATCAACTTTTGAACTTTTCAAGATTTCTTCAGTCAAATGGTAACATTAGAAAATACTCTACGTACGCATAAGAATTTCATTTTGTACTTTTACAGTATAACTGCCTTCAGTCTCAGCTTAAAGGACCCCCACAACTTTAATGTGGATGTACTTGCTTTGTTTCTAAAAAAGTAAGTGCTTCCATGTTTTAGTGCTGGTGAATCCTGCTCTCTCAACACTGAAAACATTTCCTTCTCCACAGAATATACATAATTTGTAACACAGTATTTATGCCCGACAAAAACATAGAATATTCTCATTAAATCCTTCCCACATAAGGTGAGAATGATTTGGATATTACACATAATTCACTAGAGTAAATATACACTTCTGGAAGGCATTGGTTTATAGGTATTCAGGGTCACATACACAGCAGAAGCTTACACTATAAAGGACCCCCTCTACTTTAACATGGGAGGTACTTGCTGGATGCTTGAAAAAGTAAGTGCTTCCATGTTTTAGTTGTGGTGAATCCTAATAACTCCTACAGAAAATGATAAAATGAGTTGCATGTTTATTCTAGTTAAGACATTTTAAATTACTGAGAACATGAACCCAGCAGCAGATAATGTACCTTGCTATATGAGATTCAATGATGCAACATTAAATTTTTAAAATGTAAAATTATCTTCTATATTTTCAACTACAGGCTGCTACTGTTGCTAATATGCAACTCTGTTATGTCAAAATTGGAATTGCACTTTAGCAATGGTGATGGACTGTAAGGATAGAAACTGGAAGGAACAAAATGTAATTCAGTGTGTTACTGGAGACAGTGAGAGATTCTCAAATGCTGAAAAGATGCATTAAAATTCAAATTAATCTGTACCTTAATTTTTGGCAATAATGTTGATCAGTGTATTGTTTGCATGTTCCAAAATAAAGTATGATATATTAGAAACTAGTGGTATATAGTCATGTAAAAAGAGTATAGCAGCTTGATTTTTCATGGATATTTTGTGTAAATTTATTTGCCTCATCTGATATTCACAGGGCCCAGAGTGGGAGGGGGATTGGGGTACCAGGGCTCCAAGCATGTCATCAAAAACAAGTATTATATTACCAATTCTCCCAAATTTTGGTGAGGGTCTACAAATATGACATTCACAATCTTTATACATAATCACAATCTATAAGTATGACACTAAAAAACATTTTTATCAATTCCCCCAAATTTTGTGCCAGCTGAGTCTACAAATATATGAAACATTTACAATCTTGACATGGACATATGTAAAATTACAAAGATGTACATTTACAAAGTTAAATAAAATATTCTCTGAACCTTTATCAGCTACAAGCTAGTCAGGACACAGTTAGCCTGCAGGGATAACTGACCCCTGAATTACTCACTTTCCACATGAAAAAGTCTCCTACATATTTGTAGCAATATGGTTGCCTAAAGGGAATAAACTAAAACCTTGAAAGTTAAATATCAAACACTTGAAGGTATGCAAATTCTAAATCTAAATGCTATCTTAGGTATTTCAATGACTTTAAAAGGGAAAAAGAAACATGGACCAAATTCCAATCTTGATTACACTGTTGTAAATCCTATCCCTTCACCTCCATTCTTAGTGGAAGAATACTGTTGTAAATGGAATTTAGTCCTTAGTTTGACTGAAGAAACAGCACTTTAGACAACTCCAACAGACAGATGCTGTCTATTTCTATCTAAGACAATGACTAAACTTCCATTACTTGTTGGGGGGGGGGGTGAAGAGAGCATATACCTCTTAAAAGTTCTCCAATACAAATTCCATCTACAACTCACAAAAGCATATATCTATATCACTATAGATATATCTATACCGAGATATATCTATCTCTCTCTCTTTTTGGTTAGTCTACCTTGCCTTCAAATTAAGGCAGTGACAACACTTATTCAGCAGAAACCCAGCTTGGCAAACAGCACACAGTCCAAACAAAATAGGGTGCAGGCCCTCTGGATGTAGGATAAGCTTCAGTGAGATTTTGGCAGAGTTCATTCTAATAAAAGATGAAGTGCTGAGTTTAGGAAGAAAACTACTTCCCCAGACAATACATTGTAGACAGAAAGGGTTATTACTATCACTATATTTTGGATTGTTCTGCTTGAATTTAATTGTTGAATCATAAAAAACCCTCTGAAAGCTAATTAAATTAATAACATACTTTGAGAGTACTCTCAGTGGAATTACTTCCTCTCCCATCTTGTGCCTTTCTTTGCGCTTTTTCTTATGCTTCCTCTTAGATTTTGAAAGGGATGTATCTTTCTTATCAGCAACGTCTTTTTCTTCTGCAGAAACTATTAAATTAAAAAGTTTAAAGAAAGATAATTAGATACAACTTGCACAGGTCGTGTTTAAAATGGAACACACTTAAATTAAAATATATCCCTTTATTTACTTTGTAATAAGGAATATGGATGGCCTACAAAATTTGTAAGGGTCAGAGAATAAGATCTGGGAAGTACCCAGGACCACTTTTACATTTTTAAATTTTCCATTCCAAGATCACAAGTGTAGGCATATCTTTCTCTTTGTTATTTCAACAGGTTTAAAATACAGCAAAGGTGATATTCCACCCAACACACAACATTCTACTTTGAACAGATTCCTCCTTGTCACGGACAAAGTGACTCTTATCACTGCCTGATAAAACCCTCAGCTATCAAAGTCCTCAGCAGCTAATTCTGGTCCTTCCCCTTACTCTCATTTTTGTTAAGCAAGGATTCTAAAGAAAAGTTATTTTCTCTCATGAGCCCTTTGACCTAAATAAAGTTATCAACACTTTCATGGTACTGAGGTCTGGGTACTACTGGACCCCTAACCACGGATCTCTGTCATCTTTGCATGTGACTACAATATAGGTTTTGATGTCACTTATCATATCACATTATCGTTCTTATCTTCAACAAGAAGGTAGTGTCTCCAGCCCTCTCCTTCTGACCTTAATCCAGTTTATCATTTTGTAGAGAAGGCTGGAAGGACCTTGGTTTATCTACATTCTTATTCTGTACCCATCAGCACAGTGTCTGAGTCAAACTTGCAAAAGAACTTTGGTGTGGTCATCCTCAGCTCTGCTATGCCTAACCTTTAGGCACCCAGCTAGGCGCCTAGTTATCTATGCTCTGAATGGGGGGGAAATTAGACCTCTAAAAATGGGATTCATGCTGAATAAAGAATCCCTACCCCACTCGAGAGGAAATGCTGAAAAGGGCGATGTATTTCAAATCCCACCCCTCTTCCACACTTAGGCGTCTAACTGCAGGTCAGAGTTAAGTGCCCAGACTGGGATTCACAGGCAGTAACTGGTCTTCACATTTAGATGGCTAACTGAAGTGGTTAAACTGTGGCTTGCAAGCCACATGCGGCTTGCTGGCACAGTGCTTGTGGTGCTCCTATTTCTCCTGGGACTGCCAGCTCAGGCGCCAGAGCAGGGGCTGCAGTCATGCTGCTTACCCCAGGGCGTGCTCCCCGTGGGGAAAGCCGGAGTGGCTCAACGCTACAGTGGGGGTCGTGGGAGGGGTGGTAACCTCCACTCTCAGTCACTCAGCACCCTCCCGCCCCTCCACCCCCAACTCCTGAACTTCTGCAGCGGATCTGATACGGCTCCCAGGGCGAGTAACTCTGGTCATCCCTGGCCTAAGCTATCCCTTTGAATACTGATGACTAGCTAATGCTTTTTTATTTAAGATCTGAGAAAGGGAGGTGGTAGCAGTGTAATGCTAGTGCCCAACTCATTTGTAACTCCTAGTGGTTAGAGCAGTCACCTGCAAAGCAGGTGACATGGATTATAGATTCCAATTTTTCACTCAGTGGGGAAGAAGGGACACACTGACTTCTAGATATTCATTATATGGTAGACACCATTATGCACCCTTCCTCTTCCTCCCCCTGTGTTTTTTGAATGAAAGTGGCCATAGTTTTCTGCTGAACTCGGTGCTGTCAGTGTTAGGCATGGTCACAGAACTTCAGCTTGATCAGGATCTTAAGACAACCAGGACGCCAGTTTTATGAATCTCAAAGGGCTGTAGAAGAGAGTTCACTCACCAGACATTGACCAATCAGACGCTCCACTACCATCACTAATATTTACGTACGTACCCATTGGTACACTGTCTACATCCTCAGGGTTATGCTGACTCATTTGAAACCACTGCACTAACACATCCAAAATTCTAATCTGTCACAAACAACTGGGTTTTCAAAATCTCTCTCTCCTAAGCTCAGAACCTAACAACATCTCTGATGGTAGAAGCACAGCTCTTTTTTGCTCAAAATTTTCCATCCCATTTTCATATCTTCCTTTTCTGTAATTGTACCTTGTATCATCTTTGGAAAACTGTCAAAACCTATCTTTGCTTTGATTTTGCTATTATGTAGGTAAATGAAAATCAGTAATTTTTTTTTTACCATTCAAATCCTTTTGAAGTTCTGTTGTTTCCTCTGTGATAGAATGAACCTCATCTTTCTGAGCAGTTTTCTTGACCTTTGCACTTACTGCCTCTGCATCTCCAGAGCTGCTTCTTTTTCTCTTCCCTGGCCTGTTTTCCTCAGGTAACTCCATGCTTTCTGTTCTATCCCATTTCTTTTTCTCTTTCTTAGATGGTTGCTTATGGACCTCAGATCCTTCCATTTCAGAGCAGTCAGATGTGGTCCTGTGCCTCTTTGATTTTGTTATTTGTTCTGGTGCGGTGTCCATGTTTGTTTCTTTCGTTTCTACAGCTGACTGTACACTACTCTCCTTTTTCATTTTGGATTTCTTTTTCTTCTTCTTTTTCTTCTCTTCTGTATAAAGAGACAAAACATACTTGTTGCCAATAGTTACCCATTCCTGATTAAAGTCAACTGTCCTAACTGACTTACTATAACTTTCGTATGTTCAGGGTATGAGATCTGATCAGAGTATGAACCCCAAATTCCATTTTCAGCCCTTATGCTAGT